GACTTGGCAAGAAGCGAGAGAGTCGCTTTTTCAATGTAGTTTGAAAAGTGGGTTGGTTGCCCTGTCTTATCTAGATGCAACGACAATCATCGGGGCGCAGCTTGAATTTGAGTTGACGGAGCTTGGAAATTCAACTTTGCTTGCAGACGATTTCAGACAATGTACACCAGCAACCCTGTTAAGAAGGGTAGGGTCAGTTGAGAAGAAGGGCAGCAATTCTGGTTTAGGACGCTTCCCTCCTGATCAGCCCTTCGTTCACCAGTTTTTCACTGCAGAGAGGAAACAGGACGCAACATCTTCATGTTTGAAGTGGTTTTTGGGAGCGTTGAGTTTTTGTATGCGTGTGCTATTCATGGACCAAATTGGACAGGTTGTTCAGAGCCACAGGTGCCTGGAAGCTGTGACTAAAGATGTGTCCTTGATGATTTGCCAGGCATCTTCATTGAAGGTCGATGAGTTGCAGATGTTACGTACAAAGTTTTTCACTGGGAAACCATGGGGCAGGATCTTCTCAAGTGCAATCTTATTTGCAGTGCGTTCCAGGGCCGGTTGGTCAGATCATATGTACTGTACTGAAGTGCTGCTGGACCGTGACGACCATAAGGCTTTAAGGTTCTTTGAGGGGCACATTGCCTCGAATAAAATCATGAGAGCAGAATTGTTTAAATACAGATTTTTGCCTTTGAAGGCGCCCGCATTTGGGGTGAGCAGTGACTGTGGGCCTGAACAATGGATGGCAAGCAGACACAGTACTGGTGTTGTGCTCACCCCTGTCCATACGATCATGCCAGCTCCCAATCACAAGGGATGCCTGACACAGAGGTTGCAGCTTGGTGACCATGCTGGAGGCGGAACTGGTTTGAAGATGGTGCACACCTATACTGGGGATGCCTCTTCAGAGTCGGCGGAAAAATTTGTCATGGTCCATGGCGATATCAGGGTTGGCAGATTTCTGCCAGATTCAACACAAAGTGGGCGTTTTGGCCGCCGGGACATGACGACAACTGATGGATCAGCAAAACCCATGCCATTAGGCAGAGAGGAGCTGAGCGCAGTTGTGGGCTTTAACATGGTAAATGAAAGTCAGAGAGCGAGTGTGGTCAAGCAATTGGCACCAGCTCAAGTGACAGCAGCTCGCAGGAAGAGTTTCAGGAGGGACAGAAGAAGCGTGAGCTTTACTATCCACCAGAACCACCTGAGAGTTGTGTCCTTCGCAGCATTCCCGATTAAAGACGCTGCGTCCAGCGCCCCATGACTTCAAACGAGTTTTTTAGGTGCAACGTGATGGGTGGGCTATACATGCAAAGAGCAATATGTCAATCCGGTATGACTCACCGGTCTGCAGATTGTGTGTGGGTGCCACCAAATCCAAAGGCGAAGCTGGCGTTGATCTAAGATTCAATGCAGCGAGAGCCGAGAGGAGAGTTAAAAAGGTGTTGCCGACTTTCCGTTCGAATCTCATTCATATGTTTCATTTGGCTGACTGCAATTGATCACTTGATTAAATTTTAGACACAATTGCAGTGGCATGTTGAGAACACTTGGAGAAAACATGCAGAAGGGTCGCACGGGACGCATCAGAATGAGTGTGTCGATTGCCGTGGACCAAAGGCCGCAGCCAGAGAAATTTTCATCATTTCCATTTTGATTTCTGACAGACTTCAGACTTGAGCAAGGGTTCATCTCGTGCCATACTGCAAGTGGGACCCTTGGACGGAACTTAAGTTTTGGGATGTCAAAACAGTTTGTTTCTGAATTAATTTTAAGCGAACAGTTTGATGAATTTCATGCATGGAAGTTCATTCAAATTTTGCAGTTCAGTTTACACTTTTGACCTCGTTGCAAGCCATGACACTGATTGATAACACTGCCCCATTTGAGTGACGGTGCGTGGACATCGACGAGTCTGGATCCTTGCTGGAAGGGTTGATGAATCAAGGGGTGAGATGTTTTTCAGCTTTAGCATTCACAGTTGGGACGCCTCAGACCGCACCATCAGATAATCAATATGATGGGTCAGCAGTCAAGATTTGTGGAGCTGATCCCACATTAGGGCAAGTGTCGAGTTCAAGGCGTTTGCAATTTGGAGCCATGACTTTGGTGCTTAGGTTTACCTAGGTGACTGTTTGCGGCACATGTCGCCTGGGCGGTGGTGGGGCTGTTTGGTTGGTTTCTCCCTGGGGCCTTGGCCCGGTCTTCTTCCCCTGCGGTTCTTTTGTGTCCCGGTCCTGTTGTCGTCTTGTTGGCGTTGTTTGGGTCTGGCGGTCCCGCGCTTTGCTCCCACGTTCTTCCGCTCCTCTTTGTCCTCGCGTTGTTGCGGAAGTGCTTGACCGGAAGTATTGAATTGAGCTTCAGTTTTATTTTGTTTGTTGTCACGATTTTTTGGTGACGATCATTCCACGTGAGTTTCAGTGAATGCATTTCAAGATGTCACTTTCGGTCATTCTGTCGTTTTGAGGTTTTTCGAATTCGTTTTCTGTTGTTGGTTTTCCATGTATTTTCATTGGTTAGTCTCGGCTTCAGCTGAAAGAAATTTGAACAGATTGGGGCGCTGCGCATTCCCCTATGGGGACGCATGGAGTGGTCTGGCCTTGAGGGGCTGGGAACCAAGTTTTTAGAGACGGTGAAACGAGTCTACAAAGAGCCCCGGTTTCTGTTCTACGCAATTTCAGCTCTTGAGGATGTTCAGGGAGTGCTGCAGGATATTTTTGGTCACCTCGAATTTGGTCCATTAGGCGAAAAGGGAGTGCAGGTTGTTTGGAATTGGAAAACTTCAATGGAAAAACCCTGTGAACGTTTGACCTCACTTCGCTGTATGGAGAGTTTCAGTCACTTGCATCATCCTGGACATCACCTTGAGAGAACAGTGCAGGAGGAGTTTGAGGAGATCATTAGGGATAGCCCTGCATATGTGTTGGAAATTGCTAAGAGAAGACTGAAACGTAAACGAGAACATAAAGGTTTGCAGCGTGCAGAACTTGAACATGAGCAGAGGAATGTTTACGCATTGCAGTTGGCAGAAATCGTGAGGGAAGCATGTTTGCCTGTGACATTTCAGCTGGAATTATTGCAAGATCCCAACAAGGCTTGGATTCGTATTTTTGGCAACCGGAGATCGAAAACATTGCGCAATAGGCTTAGGGCTTGGCAGAAGTTTCGCAATTGGTATCTGGCCTTTTCAGGTGAAGTGTGGCCCAAGAGCATATCGCCGCTTGTGGCGTTTGTGGAAGAGCGCATCGACGAAGGTTGCAGCTACTCTTGTCCAGGTGAACTCCAGGCCGCACTGACCGTCTTGGAGCAGGTCGGTAGGGTGCCCGAAGACAAACGATGCTCAAACGATGCAACATGGATGGCACATTTGTCAAGTTGGAAGTTGGAGCTTGAGTCAAAGTCAAGGGTCCCCAAGCCGGCAAAACCCTATACGGTTGCAATTTTGGTGTCACAGGAAATTTTTGTCATGGATGAAGAACAAGAAGTTTATTTCAGGTTCATTGCATGGACAATTCTACTGGCATGCTGGACATCAATGCGTGTGGACGATATTCAGAATGTGCTACCTGAAACATTGAAGGTTTCGAAGAGAGGTTTCACTGGAAGGTTGGCCAGGACGAAGACATCGGGCCCTGGAAAACTTCATGGCCAGTTACCGATTTTCATTCGCAGAGAAATCTCACTTACTGGTCATGATTGGCTTGCAACAGGGATGGAATTTACCAAGCTGGATTCCTTCATTTTCCCGAGGGACTACCTTGTCCCGGCACACAACGATGCATGGGATGGATTCTATCCGAAACTGGTTGAGCCGCCGGCACTTTCAAATTTGATTCGCATGGTTTTGGGCAGGTTAGGGACACCAAGGTTCCAAGATGGAATCTGGCGGACAAATAAGGCGATGCTTCTGGTGCCAGGAGACCTTCTTTTGTTTTGGACGGGCCATAGCGCTCGACACTTCTTGAATCAGGCGGCGCTGGCGCTGGGGGTGCCCAAAGAACGCCGAGATTATCTTGGACGGTGGGCTTTGGGCAGGACGGGCAGCAATGCCTACATCCACACAGCGAGGCAAGTGGTTGAAACCATTCAGCTTGATGTGATGAGGGCGTTAACCACTGGAAGTGCTGAGATTGATGAAACAGAGCTGTTAGATGAGGTGACCCAATTTGCTGATGACCATGGCCTGATAGGACATAGGATCCGCCGCAGGCATACCCAACAGCTCACCAGGGACCTCCCCGTGCTGCACTCAGAGGAACCTGATACAGACCATGAAACAGAGGACTTGGATGAGCCTGAACTTGCAAAGACAGTCGGTGAATTAGAAAAACAAGACTGTGGAGTGGCTTCAAAATTTTTCATCACTGTTTCCAGGCGCACGGGGCTCAGACGTTTGCATGCTCATTTCAAATGTCCAGTGCGATCCCAGAGATGCCTTGATTCTTTTGATGTTTCTTCAATTGATGAAACGACTTTTGACGTGATGTGTCGCATTTGCAAGAGACGTCTTCAAGCGGATGAAGGGAAGCTTGAGAGTGAGAGCTCAAGCACCTCGGGAGAGTCATCTTCCACGGAGTCGGACAAGACACCGGAACCTCAAGAGGAGGCACTGGACTGAGTTTGGCACAATTTGGCAAAAGGGAAGCAGGTACCAGCAGCCTCAGTTTGAGAATTTTCACTTGAGAATTTCACTTCTTTTGCGTGCCTTGCTTGATTCAGTGAGTTGAGTGTTTTATTGACAAATTTGATGATTTCAGATTCTTGCACGGGAAGTTCAGCGTCAGATTCAACTCAGGGTAATCCAAACGGTGTTGCAGTCACCGGGCTCAGCAGAGGAGCATTTTGCTTCAGATTCAGTTTCAGTGCTTGCCTCTGGGTTGTAGTTTGACTTGCCGTCACTCTTTCAAACATTGTGTTGGGGCAGCTTCACTCATTTAGTTGGGACATGTTGGTCATGCAAAACACTTGTTTTCTGCTTTAGACTTTTTCCGTGCGCCGTTGCAAGAGCGATGGATGATGCTGGAAAGAGGGAGTTCATTCAGAAGAACGTGACATCAGACTTGCAGTATATCTGGGACGATTCTGAAGTGAGCTTGGATTTACAGTACAGGTTTGCACAACATTATAGATCTCTACGGGTTTTCATCGCCCTTGGTGAGACAACAGCTGACATCAGGACGGCCTTGAAGAATGATTTCCAGGTAGATCCCAACTCTGGAGCTGACCAACGAGCTGAAACAGCTAAGGTGGTGAGCGCTTGGACGGCAGGAAGACAACTTTACGAGAAAGAAACGGAGTTGCATGCAGAAAGTAAGGTGTTGGGGATGCCCAGGAACCTTCAACATAGCGAGCGGCAAGCAATGCTGAAAGCAGTGGAAGCTGCACTTGGAGTTCTCCCTGAACACGATACACCCAGCTCTGAGTACCTTGCAATGAAAGTGGAAGAATGTGAAAACGGGGAGATCTTGGCCTCCTCCCTTGACGAGATCACAAGCAAAACCCACAAGAATACCTCTTCCCTGCAGACTTCATTGGATACAGCGGGCCATGTACGAGTGGTGAAAAACAAATCAAAAGGGACACTGCCCAACAATACTGAAGAGTATAGGCAAGCTTTGAAGTTAGAGGCAGTGACATGGATGTGCATGGCTGCGAAGTTCAAGTCGAAACACTGGTTGTCAGACCTCAAAGCAGATCATTTTCAACGATTTGTGGAATACATCCTGGGTGACAGGGTCAATGCCATTAAGGTTCCTTATGACAACCAGCATGTGGCAATCAAACCCAATTGGGCACTGGTGCTACAGTACGAGCATCGATTGCGGCGGGAGGCATTCAAACTTGTCAATCGTGGAGAAGCAACTTTGGGAGATGCCTTGGTGCGAGTGACAAAAGATCCAGATCTCAAAGAAGCCTATTTTACAACGCCGCTGGCTTTGACAACAGCAGAGACACCAGTTAAGTATCAGAAGACTTCACAGAAGGGAAACAACGAATGGACCAACCGTCAGAAGGGCAAAGGCAAGGGAAAATTCCAACAACACAAGGGTTTTGGAAAAGGTGCCAAGAACAATGCATCAAAGGGAAAGCACGGCGATTTGAGCCTGGTTGCACAAACCCCGGACGGACGGGACATTTGCTTTGCATTCAACTCACAAGGATGCAACGGAAAGTGTGGCAGAGTACATGTTTGCAGAGTCCGAGGATGTTTTGGCGATCACGCGGCAAGGGAACACTCAAAGTTCCAAGGGAACCAGAAAAAGGCCGAGTGACTAGCGAAACCACAGCAACCCAAGCAGCAATTGAGGGTGCTGTACCTTTTCTGTGGGCGAGAACGGAAAGCCGACACAAAACATTTTCTGCAAAAGTTCGGCAGCAATGGCAATTTTGAGGTTCACGTCCGAGAAGTGGACATAGAAAGAAGTGATGCTGATGATTTGTTACAACAAAAATTATGGGACGAGATTTTCAAAGAGTTGCGTCAGGGCCTTTACGATGTGGCAGTGGTAACTCCACCTTGCAATTCATTTTCACGTGCCCGCTGCAACTCAGTTTTGGCTCCTGGTCCTGTACCAGTCCGCAATTTCAATCATCCTTGGGGATTCCCATGGCTGTCGGGAAACAATAGGCAGCTCATTTTGGATCACAACTTTCTTTTGTCACAAAGCTTCGCAACAATGGACATTTGCTTGGAAGTAGGGTGCGATTTCCTTTTTGAGCACCCTGAGGATCTTGGGAAAACCACTGGTGGTGACAAACCAGCAAGCGTTTGGCAACTGGAAGAGATGCGAAAATTTGTTGATTCAGGAAATGCTTTTACATTTGCAGTTTTTCAATGCCATTTTGGCGCACAATCACCAAAACCTACACGTTTTGTGACAACATTTCCGCTGGCGCAGTCGTTTCCCTGGCAAGGTTGGCCGCAGTTTGACGAAGACCGCAGTTACTTGGGACCACTTCCTGCTGCATGCTCACATCCGTTTCATGTCAGAAAACTTATCGGGAAAGAAAACGGCAAATGGAAAACAGCAGATGCGGCGGCCTACCCGCCTCCACTTTGCAAATGGCTGGCACAACTCATCGTCTCACGAAAGGGGGAAAGTCTCTCTGAGTTGAACAAGCAGCCAGAAAGGCCTCTTGAAAGGCTTGAAAGACCCGTGCAAACCCAGGCACACCACGAGGCAACAGCAGTGGAGGAAAGCCAACACCAAGCAACACAGGAGGCAGATCAGGATGTTCCTTCAGAAGAACAAACGGCAGGTCAAAACACAAAAGCAGATGTGAGACAGCACTTGCATCGGGGGCAGAAGATCACTCTGGAATGGGCCGGCAGAGCAAGGGAGCTGGTGGATGGTTTCGGTTTGTGCTCACCCACTTTATGGGAACCATCATGCAGAGGAGCACACATGAGCGCGGAGGCAAAAGGTTTGTGCATGGAGATTTTTGAGATGTTGTCAACATTTGTGGACAAGAAGTTTGCGGACCCGCGCAGAGAAGCAATAAAACTTGGTCTGGGCCATTTTTCTTCATCCCCATTCACTGACAAGGAGCTGGAAGGGCTGAGGCGCAGCTGGGCGGCTTTGTTGCCTTCAAAAGACATGGCAATGGTGGTGCCTGAAAGACAACCTTTCTTGCTTGGCCTTGTAGGCCAGTCTCTGGAGGCCTTTGGGGACCCTGATTACTCCGTTTACATGGAGGGCACGGATTCATTTTGGAATGGAGTGCCGGTGGGCTACGACGAACCGTTGCCAAGAATCCCAGCCGTTTTTCCACCAAAGGAAAAGGCTCGCCCGCTGGACGACTCGGAGTTTAATAAACACAGGAGGCAGATCAGGATGTTCCTTCAGAAGAACAAACGGCAGGTCAAAACACAAACGCAGATGTGAGACAGCACTTGCATCGGGGGCAGAAGATCACTCTGGAATGGGCCGGCAGAGCAAGGGAGCTGGTGGATGGTTTCGGTTTGTGCTCACCCACTTTATGGGAACCATCATGCAGAGGAGCACACATGAGCGCGGAGGCAAAAGGTTTGTGCATGGAGATTTTTGAGATGTTGTCAACATTTGTGGACAAGAAGTTTGCGGACCCGCGCAGAGAAGCAATAAAACTTGGTCTGGGCCATTTTTCTTCATCCCCATTCACTGACAAGGAGCTGGAAGGGCTGAGGCGCAGCTGGGCGGCTTTGTTGCCTTCAAAAGACATGGCAATGGTGGTGCCTGAAAGACAACCTTTCTTGCTTGGCCTTGTAGGCCAGTCTCTGGAGGCCTTTGGGGACCCTGATTACTCCGTTTACATGGAGGGCACGGATTCATTTTGGAATGGAGTGCCGGTGGGCTACGACGAACCGTTGCCAAGAATCCCAGCCGTTTTTCCACCAAAGGAAAAGGCTCGCCCGCTGGACGACTCGGAGTTTAATAACATGGCCTGCAACTACAAATCCGCTGAGGGCATGGCAGATGATCTAGAGAAGAAATTTCGAGAAGAGGAGCAACTGGGACGAATGGTGCCTACTACTCTTGGACGTCTCAAAGCAGACTTCCCAGACAGGACTCCTTTGGTTGCAGCTATGGGAGCAATTAGGAAGCCAAACGGAGATGTGAGGCCACTCCATGATGGCACTCATTTCGTCCAGCTCAACAACCAAATCATTTTTCAGGATCAACTTCAGTACCCTGGCCCGGAGGATGCAGCACATATGGTGAGACACATCCAAGAGGAACAGGAGGCTGTGTTTGCGCTCTCAGCTGACATCGCTTCAGCACACCGCCTGGTGAAGATCAGGAGACGTGACTGGCCGCTGCTGGGATGCAAGGCTCGCTCTGAAGATAAAACGATTTGGATAAACTGCGTGGGGACTTTTGGGATTTCCTCGGCTTCTTACTGGTGGAGCAGATTGTTCTCTGGTATTGGGCGCCTGGCAGCTTACATCATGCAACAGCAGAATTGGTGGCAACTGGTTTATGTTGACGACTTGCATCTGACTTGCCTTGGTGCTAGAAAGTTTGTGAACATGTGGATTATCCTCTTGATTTACGAGCTGGTAGGGACTCCGTTCTCCTACAAGAAATTCTCAGGTGGTTTGAAGGTGCAGTTTGTTGGATACCTCTTGGACTATCGGGAGTGCCTTATTGGGATCACAAAGAAGCGTGGCGAGTGGCTCGTGAATTTCATTGAGGAGATGCGGAAAGCTGGAGGGACTGTCCTTTTGAGGCGGTTCAATGAATTTGTTGGACGATTGGGTTTTGTGGCAAGGGTCCTGGTTTGGCTTAAACCTTTCATGGCCCCCTTGTATACTTGGTCATCGGTTTTGGACAGAAGCTCAGTTGCAACTGCACCCCGTTTGGTTTCGTTGGTGATGAGGTTTTTGAGTGAACAGCTACATGACTGTACCTATGTACATACGTGCAGGCGACCTGAAGGCCTCTCACAAGAACTCTTCCGCACCGATGCAAAATGTGAATTGGGAAGAGTCGTGTTGGGGGGCGTCCACCTGATTTCAGGGGCCTGGTTCTCAGTGGAGCTACGGCCAGAGCAAGCCCCCTACCTGTTTAAAGATGGGGGGGAGTCACAGTGGGCGTCAACAACTGCAGAGTTATTGGCCGTGCTGGTGGCGCTTCATCTTTTCGGCTTTGTGGGCGGCCCAGTGAAACATGTCACGACGCCCATCAAGATTTCAGCTGGCACTGACAATCTGGCGAATGAACATCTCATCAAAAAGGGACTGACAACTCGCTGGCCTTTGTGTTTGGTGTATATGCAAATGACCAAAGCGCTCATGGATTCAAGATTGATGGTGCAACTGAACTGGCGGCCGCGTGACCAGAACGCCCTGGCCGATGCCCTGACGAATGAGGACTTTTCGGGAGTGGACATCCAGAAGCGTATTCACGTTGACTGGACGAAACTCGATTTTTCTTGGATTTGGAAACTTTGGAATGAACGCAATGCTTATCTGGACAAGGACGGTCTTAGGGCCAGTGCGAAGATTGTGAAACTTGGCGATTATGAAAAATCTGGTTGGTGAAATTTTGGTTTTGGCAAGATTTTCTTGAAACATTCTCAGCATCAGATTCAGATTCAGTTGAGCAAGGGCTCGCTTCGAGGGGGGAGGTTTCTCTCACCCTTACTCTTTTGGATTCAGTGGAAAGCCTTTGCAGCTGGTTAGCAGAAAGATGGATGTGAACCACATCAGCAACAGCTGATGACTTTGAGACCTTTTGCATCAGCCCGAACCAATGCACAAAAAGAGAGAAGCGCTGACCAGCTTTACTCAGTTGACAGTTCATGTCAGTTTTTTCCGTTTTTGCATTAGGTTCTGTTTGCAGGGGTTTAAGTTTTGGTTGTGGTTTTCGCATAGGAGTTTTAGGGTTCGCGTTTATCAGGCTTCGCCTGTGTTTTCCCCGCGTTGGCCCCGCGTTTGTTTGGCGCATGTGTTTGCGAACAGGGTGCTTAGGTTTACCTAGGTGACTGTTTGCGGCACATGTCGCCTGGGCGGTGGTGGGGCTGTTTGGTTGGTTTCTCCCTGGGGCCTTGGCCCGGTCTTCTTCCCCTGCGGTTCTTTTGTGTCCCGGTCCTGTTGTCGTCTTGTTGGCGTTGTTTGGGTCTGGCGGTCCCGCGCTTTGCTCCCACGTTCTTCCGCTCCTCTTTGTCCTCGCGTTGTTGCGGAAGTGCTTGACCGGAAGTATTGTCTTGAGCTTCAGTTTTATTTTGTTTGTTGTCACGATTTTTTGGTGACGATCATTCCACGTGAGTTTCAGTGAATGCATTTCAAGATGTCACTTTCGGTCATTCTGTCGTTTTGAGGTTTTTCGAATTCGTTTTCTGTTGTTGGTTTTCCATGTATTTTCGTTGGTTAGTCTCGGCTTCAGCTGAAAGAAATTTGAACACCCGCCCATTTGCTTTCCCACCCCTTTTTTGTGGGTGCCTTTCAAGGTTCTGATGGTTCTTACAGAACAAGAGCTCGTGACGCAGGTCGCATTTATTTCAATGCTGGTGGCATTCATCCAAGTGGACATCACTACCAATGCTGACAACTTACAAGCTGTTGAGAACGTGGCATCGCTTCTCAAGGCGATTTTGGAGTTAGTGGGAGAGCCACTATCTCTCAAATCTTTCTCCATGTTATGGAGATGTGGTACTGAAGCCCTGCTGGACATGGAAAACCAGTATTTTCCAGATCTTCCAACGGAGACGCCACGGCATCTCGTGGCTCCTAATCATCCATTACCTTTGACTTACTTGAATATGTCGGATTGGAACCAACACGTTCCACGCATCCAACCTGGTTTTATGGCTCTCGTGGCAATCAAGAAATGGCTGGAGGCGAATTACTCTTCAGAGGTACATGATGATATTTTTCATGATTTGGATGATTCCATCCTGCTCCTGAAAGCGGTGGCAGATATTTGTGGACACGAACTTCGTTTCCGTGATGAGTTTCTGGCTTAGGGGGAGGTTTCTCTCACCCTTACTCTTTTGGTTTCAGTGGAAAGCCTTTGCAGCTGGTTAGCAGAAAGATGGATGTGAACCACATCAGCAACAGCTGATGACTTTGAGACCTTTTGCATCAGCCCGAACCAATGCACAAAAAGAGAGAAGCGCTGACCAGCTTTACTCAGTTGACAGTTCATGTCAGTTTTTTCCGTTTTTGCATTAGGTTCTGTTTGCAAGGGTTTAAGTTTTGGTTGTGGTTTTCGCGTAGGAGTTTTAGGGTTCGCGTTTATCAGGCTTCGCCTGTGTTTTCCCCGCGCTGGCCCCGCGTTTGTTTGGCGCATGTGTTTGCGAACAGGAGACTGGTACAGACTCTGATCGTTCTCTTGGAATGGCTTTTGCCGTTGCTTGAAGATGTTCGTCTGAGTGCGAACCAGCGAGACATCATAGCGATGTTCCGTGACCATCTCAGAGAGTTGGAAGCCGAAATGCAGAGGCAGGCTTGTGAGATGCGTGAGCATATCTTGGGTAGATACCACAGGTCATTGCAAGGTTGAAATACCTGTGACCCATTGCTGTGTGATAGATTTGGCAGATGTAGGCGATAGGGTTCCTGGTGGTAGTGGTAAGCGTGGAAAAATGGGTGACAACGACTGAGCTGCATGTGAGAGTAGGTTGCAGTTGCGTTACATGTGTGATTTGCAGTTTTGTTGTGTAAGAGGCTTGGTGATTTTGGCAGAGAGAGAGAGAGAGTGCCTGGAGAATCACTAGAAAGCATTTGAGAGAACTGGAAAAGGAAATGGGCTGGATGGCAGGGTGCTGCATAGGTCCATATTAGAAAAGTAAGAAAGAGTTACATCTCGACAGGTTGGTCAGGTTGTAGTTGATCCTGGACGCACGGAGTGCACAGTGCGTGGTGCTACTGAGCCTGGCGTCATGCCTGGAGATTACAGTTGGAGTGAGAAACATTGGCATGAGAACCTGGAGGGTCGGTGACCTTGGTTTAGTTGCCACACATTTGAGAAACATTGGCATGAGAACCTGGAGGGTCGGTGACCTTGGTTTAGTTGCCACACATTTGAGAAACATTGGCATGAGAACCTGGAGGGTCGGTGACCTTGGTTTAGTTGCCACACATTTGAGAAACATTGGCATGAGAACCTGGAGGGTCGGTGACCTTGGTTTAGTTGCCACACATTTGAGAAACGTTGGCATGAGAACCTGGAGGGTCGAGTTTGCTTTGTCAGTGACCTTGGTTTAGTTGCCACATTTGTAATGTAATGCGTGAATAGTTGGACACCTGAGGTTCAGTAGTGTGCAGGAGCAGTGGAGCTTGACGGATGTTTGCACTGACTGGTAATCTTGAGATTGAGGCCTGAAGCATTGTTGTTTGCCTGGCAGTATAGGTACTGGAGTGCTGAGAGAAAGAGAGATAGGAACCGTCATGGCACTGAAGGCACAGTGGAACTTGGTGTTGAGATTGTTGGTTGACAACAGGTGGTGAGTAAGAATGGCCAGAGTGAACTTTGCTTGCCTGTTTGGGAACGTTGATTTGATTTCTCAGATGCATCAGGTAACCAAGGATGTTGGTTTGGACTGCAGTTGTGGAAGTGTTTGAGTTGAGCATGTATTGCTGTAAGTCAATGGAAACGACCTAAACTGTGTAGGTAGTGGAAACTGCTTTGAACTATATTTTGAAACGAAACAGGAAACTTTGTTGTGAGTTTGTTTTCATGTTTCTTTGACCGGAATTTGAACAGTTTTGCAGTGTCGCAGGCAGGTCAGGTATAACTTACGTTCCTTGGATTGTTGCAGTTGTTTGTGAAACCTGGGACAGATGCAGAGAAGGTACATTGAACCCTGAGACAGGTAGGTACTCTGGAGTTGTTGTCAGACTGACTGGACTTTGTGTGAAGACAACTTGAATGCAAGTATTCCCTTTTGGCTTAGAGCAATCGTACCGTACCTCTCTAGATGGATGGATGAGCACGGAGATGTCTGCAAGCCAATTTTGACTGTGAGACGAGCTCTATGGTCTTTGTAGTGATGATTGCCAGTGTGGTTTGCCTACTTTGTTTGTGACCCTTCCCGTGGTCAAAGGAAGTGCCATAACCAACGTAGTCTGAGAACAAGATGCTTGTGATGTTAGTCGACCCTGGAGGGTTTCCTTTGCGAACCTTGGGCCATGTTGAGTGGACATCTTGTACTACCAGAAGGATGGCATGGAGTTTCACGAGATTTACAGCATTGGAGCTTTGCAGAGGATCCTGAGAGAGGGAAGTAGAACGGTAGTGTAGTTTGTGTGCTTGCGTGTTGCTCAGAGTGAAAAGCAAGAGAGGGAATCTGGGATTTGAGATTTGCAATTTTCTTTTGAGTTGAAGAGTTTTGACTTACAACAAAAAGGAAAGAAATGGGCTGGATGGCAGAGGCGCTGCATAGGTCCATAGGGAACTGGACGGCAGGGGCGATTACGACTTGCATAGGTTCCGAAAAGAAAAGAAAAGTTGTAGAAGGTCAAAACGTGGACCAGATTGCAAGACGTTGCAAGGTTCACACATGAGCTGGAGTGCAGACGTGCATAGGCTCAGATAACAGATTAAGTCAGAGAGAGAGGAAATAGGGAACTAGACGGCAGGGGCGATTACGACTTGCATAGGTTCCAAAACGTGAAACTGACTGAAATGAATGTAAATGTGATGTCAGTTTGTGGCTCGACATACTGTCTAAGTGAGAGACGAAGTATGGAGCTGTCTATTATGCTCATAGTGAGCCCCGCTCGAACTCGAACTCGAACTGGAACCCCCCCCCCCCGGAAAAAAAAACCAAGCTTTCTGAGTCCGGACTCGCGGTCCACATGCTCGAACTCGACTTCGAACTGGCGGTGACACAGTTCGAACTCACGTTCGAACTCGCCCCAGAGCAGTTCGAACTCGATTTTGACCTGGCGGCGGCCGCGTCGAACTCGAACTCGAACTCGAACTCGCACCCTCCCCCCCCGGGAAAAAAAAAACAAGCTTTCTGAGTCCGGACTCGCGGTCCACATGCTCGAACTCGAGTTCGAACTGGCGGTGACACAGTTCGAACTCGCGTTCGAACTCGCCCCAGAGCAGTTCGAACTCGATTTTGACCTGGCGGCGTCCGCGTCGAACTCGAACTCGAACTCGAACTCGCACCCCCCCCCGGGAAAAAAAAAAACAAGCTTTCTGAGTCCGGACTCGCGGTCCACATGCTCGAACTCGAGTTCGAACTGGCGGTGACACAGTTCCAACTCGCGTTCGAACTCGCCCCAGAGCAGTTCGAACTCGATTTTGACCTGGCGGCGGCCGCGTCGAACTCGAACTCGAACTCGAACTCGACCCCCCCCCCTCCGGAGGGGAAAAAAAACCTTTCCGAGTATGCATTCACGGTCAAGCTCTGAAAGACTGCGAGCTGTCAGCCGGGAAGTCAGGTGCCAGGAATTAATTTTTTCCCGTATCAGATTGAGGGGGGGAGATATGGCATGTTACCAACGCAAGCATCCAGGAAATAATTTTCGTACTTGGCTATCAGAGGGGTAAATTTATTGGATGTTGGACGTTGGGCACCAGGAAATTA